GGGTCTCGGTCCACCTTCTGCACGACAACGCCCGACCCCACATAGCAAAGGAGACCCGGGAAAAACTGGAGGAGCTGGGCTGGGAAACTGTCCCTCACCCGCCCTATTCCCCTGACCTAGCTCCTTCAGATTACCACTTGTTCCGTCCCCTTAAGGCTTTTCTAGCTAAGAAACAATTCAAGTTGATGATGTGAAACGGGCGGTGAGTGACTTCTTCGACTCCCAGTCTCCTCAGTTCTGGGAGAAGGGGATCGCTGACCTGCCCATTAAGTGGGAGACTGTTGTCACTAATAATGGTGATTATATTGTTGAGTAGCTTGCATTGTATGCTGAGTACTAAAATAAAGCAGAAAATTTTTTTAAATGGGTCATCACTTTCTTATCAACCTAATACAAAATTGACGATTGTGAGTTTTGGCTCGGAGTTCCAAGACCACCCATATTTCATCTAGGGCCGGGGTGCGTTTTCACAGTCGTGAATGACATCTATGCGGAGAACATTACTGCTACAGGCACAGAATCGGTACTGCTGTTTACACAAGAAAATTAGGTACCCATACGCACACCCTCTTGACCATCCTCAGTTTATCGGACATAACTCGGGCAGCAGTTGCAGCAGGGATGTCAGTCTCGCGGGGAAGCTCGACAAAGGTCCAGGCTCTGTGATCAGACATTCAGCGCTTGACTTCATCCACCCTTTTTTCTTGTGCAGGATGAACATTATGGGACCATCCACGACAACAATTTTTTTCCTTTCTTCCTTCTTCGGGCTCCTGAACCAAATCTTCCACCTTGCATTTTGAGAACACCATTACACGCAACTACTGGTCCGGCACAGGTCAAATTTGAGCAGCGCACTTTCCTCTTATGACGCCTGATTCGAAAATCCGGCGCTGATTTTCACCACTCGGGCTTCTTTCAATTGAGAACTTCTTCTGTGGGTAGGTTCGCCAAATTTCACAGATACATAGCTAAAGGTACTAGCTTCCAAATGGTATAGTAGCCCGCTGCCCTATCCCTTTTGCTTTCCTGCCATTCCTCTATATGTCTCCACATTTTCGAATGGGATGACCTAATTTATAGCGGTCTTGCCACGCTGCCAACTGAAAGTGTGTATAAATCACAGGTGAAGGAAAAAATAAGCAACCAAAAAATTCCTCGTGCGGATTAGAAAAACGAGACTCCCGCTCCCACAACCAAGAATAACCCCTGGATGGAAGTAGACCGACGGTGCTGTAGTCTGGTACCCGGTGGTTTTCGTGTATTTGCTAACATGCTATTCGTATTCGAGCATGTTGTCTCCTACGATTTACTCGGCGAGCTTCTTGCATTCATCTCTTAAACGCTGAAACTAATACCTGATCCCAGTAGCCAAATTCTGTGAATATCGGTTGTAAATTTGACGTAAACGTGCACACCCATTGTAGATCAACAACCAACTGTTTCTGATAGGGATAGATAAGGGATGAGTAGCCATCTGGAAAAAGGCACTCACGATATAACTCATTACTTTGCTGTAAAGCGTGGCGAAATCGCGAACAGCAACAGGATTCCAGAGACGGCCAGCCTCTTCCATCGTGAAGCCCCGGCTTTGTCAACCAAGAGTACTGGTCTCACAGCAGCCCGAGCTTTCCCGTTTGGTATACTCGTGGGGCTCTAGCGACGAGAAAAGAAATGTGAGAAAATAAAAACATTGGGCGCTATTTGACATGAAGTCATCCTAGTCAAGGTTGACCTGCAGGAGGAGTATATGAGGCGCACCGACAATCCCTTTACCCCGCATATTCTGCTGAATATGCGGGGTAAAGTGGTAAAGGCCACTTACATCCAATTTGTTAGAAAAATTGTGCAAAAAGGATAATGAACGCCAGTTGAATGCGGTCGAAGAGGCGAGTCAGGCAGTAAGAGGTTGCACGCCTCCAAACACGTTCTCTGCCCAGTTTCTGAAGGGGATATGCAACAACAATTGGTAGAAAACGAGTGCTTCGAACGATATGATATAGACCTGTCACTTTCTCGCTTCAACAACTGTTGAAGAACGGATTAATCCCGTGGTTTTTGCATGTCATAAACCTCGAATTTCCCAACCCGGAACGAGTGAACCTTGTGTCGAGTTGCAGTTTGCGAGTTCAATTTATGAAAATTCCTCAAACCTACATATGCATGTTGCGACCACAACCAACATGTAGAGAGGTACGATCCGCTTGAATCTGCGTGCGTAGAAATCCCGAATGGACGTGAGCGAAAATTCTCTTTCACGAAGAATTTTGGTCATGAGGAAACCAGACAGTACGAAAAACCTGTGCCACATAGAATACATTCATCCTTAGAATGACAGAATGTTCACAAAAATGTTTTGTAGATAACCTACATGTCGACTCCGATGAAGCCGATCCGAAACAACTGCGGTCTAAGGTGCATAATCAAGACATATAAGATTGCGATCCCTCGAATGCCTTGAAGATCCACTCTTTTGGGTTGCCTGAATCAATAATGGGGCTCTTTAGTGAAAGCAATTAGTAAATCAGAAGTAGCTTACTCAGAGCTCGAAATTAGTGTTCTTTTTTTGATAAAACTGGTTCAGTGAGTTCTGACCAATTTAAGGTGGTTCAATTATACTCGAAATCCTTGAGATCGGGTAGGCGTGGCCGCATGTTTCAACTTAACCTGAAGGTGTCTATTCTGGTGAGATATTTTCATCTTGACACAATTGTTGTCGTGTCTCTGTCCAACACAGAACAAGATGACAGTTGTCCCAGACTGGAATATTCCACGAGTAACCAGTTCCGTGCCATGTTCAAATGCCACGCCTACTCTGGCTCAGGGATAAGGAGTGTACATGAGCTGCTACAGAAATACTGTCAGGTCAACTGTGATTTCGACTTTTGGAAAGATTCCCATTCCAAATGTTGCCTTCTTCAGAGGAGAAGCTAATAGAGTAATGGTCTAAACTGAAGGTCACGGCACAATGCAGGCCAGCGCGACGCAAGATTCGACATCATCAAGATTTTCACTTGCGCTCTGGTCGTGAAGGTTTTCTCGTCCATAAAAAGGTTCGACTCGACGTTTTTGGACGGAACGGGCCGCACTATCACGTGTGAAGGCGGACTGTGCGGATGAACTCTTCCTTCTTATCGACGATCTGGTTCAGATCGTAGTTCCATTGTGTAGGCATTGATCGTGGAAGCAGATTCTAGTAGTTTCACGAACCGCGCCTCCCTCAAGCAAAGTTCACATAGACATTCAAACCTCATTTGAACTGCAGGCACTCGCTTTGAAGCATTAGCGTCCTGAAAGATTGGCCGAGATTTGGGGCATCGCTTTGATGCAGCTCCTTTATGTGGACGTCAGCAGCTCTCATGCTCGAACCAGGGTGGAAGGAGAGAAGTCGAAATTCGAGAGAGGCAGTTGCTGAGACTAGTCTGGTATGCGACTCATACATATTGTAAAAGAAGAAGGAGACAAGTGAGTGCTACTAATAGAAAGAGTACTTTTTGTGTATCGCTGCTCGCCTTACCGATCACCGCTCTCTAGGTAATAGGCAAGTATTCTGGGTTCAGAGAAGCAACACAGAACTTTCCGCCTACCTAGAAATTCATGCTGATGCATCAATCTGGGGTGATGTTTCAATGGCTACAACGCTCTTCCAAGGCTATGTAGAACACCCATCCTACTATATATAATCCGCTAAGTATGTCTGTCAGTGTGTGTGTGTGTGTGCGTCTGTCTGTGTGTCACGAAAGTGTGTGTGTGTGTGTGTGTTCATAGCGAGCGCAGAAAGGATAGGATGACAGTTTCAAGAAGTGATATTCACGGCAGGACTGGAGCACTTTTGCTAGCTGACAGGAGGTGATAACACCTGATAAGATCCGATAAGGGGCCTTAGAAGGGGAGGTGACCGAATTCGTAGCTCAAGTTGCAGCAGCTGTGGAACCGCGATTTCAAGAAGTGATATACAGTGCGTAACAAAAGTATGTGGACACCTCAAATTTTTGTCCTGCAAAATTGCCTTTGAATTTTGCGATATGAGACCTTTATTGTTGAATTCCTCATAAGCGAAAACATAGGAATACACTACTTCTGAGCACTTTGTGAACTACTGTACAATTATTTATTGTTTTGAAAAAGTTTCTTAATAACAAAAGTATGTGGACACTTAACAAAAAACAAAAGTATCATGAAAATTAGATTTTCTCCAGCATTCACTATTACTTCGAACATTCTGTCTGGCATGCTGTGGACAAGATTTGTCATGGTGTCTTCGTCGATTTCCTCCCATGCAGCAACTACCGCCTCCTTCAAGTCTCGCACGCTGTTGTACTGCCGACTGTTCATGTAGATTCGTCGAACCATGATCCCCCACAGGATTTCGGTTGGGTTGCAGTCAGGAGAACACGCCGGCCAATCAATCACTTTGATACCATTGCGTTGGAGCCATTTTCTAGTAGAATTTGAAACATGCACGGCGGCGTTGTCCTGCTGCATCACATGTGTCCTGCGTCGTGGCCCGCTCAGAAAAGGCAAGAGGTTAGACTCAAGCACTCCTTGGTATTCCTGACTGTTCATACGGCACGATGGGAAGGCAAGCTCCAACTTTCCGCTGCTTCCAAAACCACCCCAAACCATCAAAGAGCCGCCTCCGAAATTTGCCTCGAGAATACCAACGGATCGCGACGAAGTGCCGATATCCATCTGGACCGTCGAGATTGAACTTTTTTTCCATCAGTGAAGATAATCTAAGAAAGAAATGCGCATAAGAAAGTTGTCTTGCTGATTTCTCAAAAAACTGCACCTTGTCCCATGACGTCGCCATGTTTGCACGCGCAAAGTTCAGTCTCGCCAGCTGGTGTTGGGCAGTCAGCGAGGAGCTTTCTTCATGGTCTCTCTGGTGATGTGCTCATTTGATCGAATATAGCGCCATATCGTCATTTTTGAGACCGGTAGATTCATTGCAGCATGGATCTGCCTCACAGAAAGTGAGGAGTTCTAGACAGTACGCACTATTCGTTTGATTCTTTTGCAGACAAAGATCGCGCCAAAATAGGTGCTGAATGGCTGAGGATTCTGGAGGTATCTAACAATGCATATCCAGCAGCACTGTGAACTCGAATCTGATCTTGTTCTTCTTCGAAGAGAGTTCCACCACGACGAGGCATGAGTACAGGTTAATGGGAAGTAGAGACGATAAAAATGGATTGCAGATTTGAGCCAAACTTTGGACTTTCTCAGGTGTCCACATACTTTTGGTACAATTAAGGAAGTTCTATTCAAAATATGTTGTGAAAGTGAAGCTTAGTTATCGCTCAAGTGCCCAATTATAGGGTTACCAGTCGGATCGCCCGACTAACGCCGAGCTCTCCTCCTTCTCTTTAGCCCGGCTTCGCCGAGCTGGCCTGGCTTCGCCAGGCTCGCTCCATAATTTTAACGGAACGTTTTCAATAGTGGGCTGCTCATACGGCGATGTAGTGATCGAATCGTAGCAGATAGAGCAAGGCTTGGGATCGTGCACTACTTAGCACAGGCTTCTATTTGCAGCAGGGGTGTGGTCCGCGCCATTACGCCCATACAATACATAAATCTGTAGATATAGATACAATGTGTAGTCGGCCAATACAGCGCAGTTTGAATCGCTCAGTAAAAGAGCAGATTTCGTTTCCATTACCTGCACCGAAATGCCTACCGATGTACGTTTCCCTTTTTTAGCATGCAATCCGCTCGCTGAAGTATAACTATTAAAATGTACTATGAGCCTTTGTTATTCGTTCTAATCAGTAAGAACGCATGAAGTGTCACATTATTCAGGTTTTTCGGTTCTCCTCGAATTTCCCTGAGATTCCTGTTTCAGACGAAGTACATACCCCCCCCCCCCCCCGCTCGTCGACATCATCCACATTATATAGTGCAATGAGTTCATTTTCTAGCGCTGTCATAGCAGTGAGGACCAAAGGAAAATTTCGCACACTGAGCCTCCAATACTTACCAGGAAAGGTCAACAGGTCAGCCCGGCCATATGCAATGAGATGCACATCATTGTACTCATCTTGACACGGTGAACTCGAAACTATCTTCAAAATTTGCGGAACGATTCTCTGAGCGGAGTTATGGAAGGTTTTTCTTACTGTTTTTCTTCTTCCAGGCGCGCTGGCGCCGAAGCGTTGGCACCTGTAGCGCGACTCACAGCGCTCTTCGCGCAAAATAGCTATCATATTCGTGTTCAGGGGGTCAAATAACCCCCAAAGACGTCACCTTAGCGAAATCTGAGGCTTCTGACTCAACTTCCGATGCAAAAAAATGGGGTATTAGAAAGTCAGGGAGTGGATTTGGACTGGGATAGCGTGTATCGGGTACGGCGAGCGAGTACTATGGATCTGGATCCGTGTAGTCGATACACTGGTACGACCTTGGTCTTTCCCTGAGCTAATATAACCTCAACTCATGTCTTCATGCACCGCACAGCAGCTACACACTGGCTTTCTTTATTTGTGCCGTGGTGCATCTTTTCAACTTGACATAATCCCCCCCAGGTATCGGGAGGAAATCTCATTCCGAGACCAGTCATCGATGGTAGGTGAGCTCCAATCTGCTGCTAATTGCCCATGAAATAGCCCACATTTTCCAAGTTAGGTCGAATATACAGATCTCGGCTAATCAAAACTTGTCCCCCGGGGTAATTCAACCCGCTGAACGTGAATATGATGATATTTCATTGCAAAAACCCTTGTGACATGTGCTACGGGGGGACAAGCACGAGCACTCTTTCAGGCCATAATGGGTCTATACTTTCGAAAAAAAAACTGGTCGCAGCTTCTTTACAGGATAGTCGCACGCACGCAACGATGTTTAGAAGCTTTGTCTGCGCCAAGTTTCTTTTTACAGACTGCAAAAAAATGGCACCCTACCCGGAAAACCGGATCGCTTACGACGTCTCGATGTAGTGAACCCGCTCGCTTAATCGTCCGTTGCGCTTTACCTGCCAGCGTTTCAGCTTTCGGCGACTCCAATTCTCGGTATATAAAGACGCTTCGCACTTTTCGTCGTGGTGCAATGTGAAACAACCCCCGCCGCTGGAATAACACCTCTCCATGAACTCAGTTCAGAGAATCGTTCCGCAAATTCTGAACGTGGATTCGAGTTCACCGTCCCATGACTCGCACAACGGTCTGCACCTCATTGGAAATGGCCGGGCTGACCTGTTGACCTTTCCTGGTTAGCAGTATAGTGATAAGGGATGTAATGAGAACGGCCCCTTATCTTTCTTATCAATTGATAAGATTGCCTGTCAGCCGTCAACAATGTCCCTATCACTACTACTCTATATTA